TGTGTGAGCGAGCACAGCTGCCTGTATGTAGTATGTGTGTGTGTGTGTGTGTGTGTGTGTGTGTGTGTGTGCAGGGCCATGTTCGTACAGCTTTCCTTGTGAGTATCGTTTCGTGCAGCATGCAGGACTGAAACCATGTGAATACAGTAGCACTTACTCATCATTGTGAAGATCAGGTGAAGTGAAACGTTGTTTGTTTGATGCTGCAAACCATTGTACATAAGTAATTTCCAAACTGGCAGCCCCTGATTGAAGAGACCTCTATCTGGTTTCAACAGAATCTAAGCTTGGTTAGTGTGACTCAAACAGAAATCGTATCATCGTTGCCTTTAGAAACGGACCACAAGGTCAAAGATAAATTGAAATGTTAGCGTGTGTGTGCCTGTTTGAAGAGTCAGTGTTTTACAGAGTCATTTTCACTGTTTGTGTTGTAACTGTGAATCAGCTGGATATCAAAACTGCATTTACTGTACATTTAATGTATGTGATTGTGGCAAATAAGATGTATTAAAAGAGCCATGTTGACTTTCTGTTTCACTCTAAAATCACATGCAACACGAATAAAACGAAAGAAGGTAACGTGTTTATAGATGTACCAATGTAATGTATAATATAACTTATTCAATTAAAAAAGTAATAAATTATTTGTGTCATATAGGGACGGTGGAGCAAGCTATAAACACAACACTGGCATAACTGTATTTTCACGTTGTAACTTTGATGGGCTAATTTAGACTTAATAGGCTGTGTTACCTTCATTACAAGGCTTAAAGATGTTTTGCAGCTACTTTTTTTTGCTCTTTTGATAGTAAGGTTTGCTGACCCCTGCTGCCGTTATATTATGCTTTCTATCCATAGTTAATGTGAGAATATTTATTAGTGCAGCAAAGGGTATTTTAATGTAACGTCTACTGTAGATGTGCTGTAGAAATGGTACTGAAAATTCATGAGTATATCTTTAGAAAGTAATTTCAAAATAGACCTCTTGTACATGCAGTAGTTGAAGTACATCCTTAATGATAAATGTATCATCATTTGTGTTCTCTTTCAGGGGTCCTGCTGCGGTGTATTAAGGATGGCTGCTTCATTAAATAATGGAGGCATCACACACACACACACACACACACACACACAAACTACAAGCACATTCGTACAGCTTTCTGTGCCTGAAAATTACACAGTGTGATTGGATGATGTTACTCTAAGAACACAGTTGCCTGGCACTTCCCGTAAAAATAACCCAATCATCATTTGCAAGTGAGTTCCCAGAATGAAGCCTCATCGTGTTTTACAGGCCTGTAATTATTATTATATTATATTATTATTATTATTAGAGTCTTGCTTAACACAAACTTTTAGTTCAAAAACACACTTTCTTACACAATCAAATTTTATTTACCTTCCATTTTTCTGTCATTACTTGCTGCATATTTTATAACTTTTACAAATACGAATGATTGAACATTATTTACAAATGCCATTTCACCCATATAATTGACATGACTCCATTTCGTCATGGACTCAGTTTTGAGTGTACATGTCTCTATATCCACACTGTGTCTCTTGGTGGCGCTGTAGGTCAACCCTGCGCTGGAAGCTGTGCTGACAGCAGGGGCAGCTGAACGGCCGGTAGCTGCTGTGCTTTCGGCTGTGGGTGATGAGGTTGGAGCTTTGGCTGAATCCTTTACCGCACACTTTGCACACGTGTGGTTTCTCACCTGAGGGAAGACCGTAGGGCAGAATACAACCTTTCAGAGTAGGAGTTTGGGCATTTGACAGTGTAGTGTAGTGTACTCACTGCACTGCTCACTCACCTGTGTGTATGAATGTGTGTTTCTTCATGTCTGACTTCTGGTGGAACCTTTTGCCGCAGTACTGGCAGGGGTAGGGCCGTGTGTCTGAGTGGATGAGGAGGTGTGTGGACAGCGTGGACGAGCGCTTGAACACCTTTCCACAGACCTTGCAGCCAAAGCTACGCTCCTGGATACACATACAGAACATAAGAATAACACATGCCCACACACAGAGAGAAGTTAAGACAAACCAATGTTTCTTTCAGAGCTCACAATGAGTCATGTGTTCGTAGCAAAAACGATATATAATATACTCATGTAAACATTCTCACTGTGTACTGTACCTTAGCTCTGCCATAGCCACCTATTGCTCTGAAGCCAAAGGGCAAATGGGGCATGTCTGTGGCTGTGGGTGAACTTGTCAAAGGGACAGAGAGGGTGTTGTGAACATGAGCCTGCAGGCCACCTCCTGATATTAGTACCTCTGAAAGAGACTGAGAGAAAGTGACAAAAAAAATGATGAGAAGATTGATACCGCTGTCAAGTTCTTCAAATATAAAGCAGCAGCCGGTTCGCTTAGCTTAGCATAAAGACTGAAAGCTGGAGGAAACAGCTAGCTTCACTCGGCCCAACAGTTAGAAAATCTGCCCACCAACACTTCTAGGTCTCCGCTGGTTGCCTAGCAACTACTTAGAGCCAGGAAACAGTGTGACACATATGTAACCGGTACAACTGTTTGAGTTACATTGTGGGTAGT